CGGGTAAAATATTCATTAATTTGTAAGGAATTCGTTTTCTTTATGTTTGTGATTTTAACACTGTTTCGATGAAACACAGCAGTCTTGATAACTTGACATGACTAACATTACTTTTCTAAAATATATGTTTTTTTGAAGCGTTACTTTGATTTCTTTCATGTTATTTTGAACACATTACTTTTTCATATTTTTCAACATACTGTGATATTTTGTTTTTTGTCTTTCTCTCCTTTTCCATTATATTTTTTGAAAAACTACATAGTGATTTCTAGCAAAATACAACTAATACATTATACAAAATTACGACTTTTTGCGATATTTTCAACACAATATACTTGTACCTTTTTTTTTTTTTTACAGGGCTTCAAGATATTTTGCATGTCATGCATAAACACGGTGTCGTCTTTCTTGAAACTGACGTGCTGTCCGTTTTACAAAACAAGTTATGTTTTCTGCTTCTTCATCCTCTGAATTTTCCTCCCCCGTCCCCCTTCCTTCACCCCTCACCAACAACAATCAAGGTGGATCTGTGAAATGAAACACCTCTTCCCAAAGCGTGACTTCCCTATTGAGGGCATGCGTCTAGGGCAGTAGGGTCTAAATCGATTGGCCAGATATACTAACATGCAGAACGTACGGTATGTTTGAAAAAGACTAACCATTTATCCAGTTCAAGCTGTCTTTAAGATGTGACATCGCGCACTGACTATTTCCCGTAAAATCGTGACAAACTATTACTTATTCTTAAATTTGATCTCTTGCTGCATGGTTGAAAATGATGGATGAAAAATAACTTTTTTTAAAAGAGTCAAGTTTTTCAAGATCAGATACAGGTCAAGAAAATGCATAGAGGAGGTATGGTGCTGGCTCATTAGCCCTCTCACTCTTCTTAGAATGATCCTGTGCAATTATAGTTAATAAAAGTAATTACACATTAGTTCACAAATCCATATACTAAAAGAGAATATCCTTAGGTATCACTATTAAAAAACTAAATAAGATCTTTTTAAAATAACCTCTTTGCAAAAACAGATACTTTAACAGTTTCACAAAAACTTGACAAGAAAACATCCATCCTCACACACCATTTAAAACAGACCCTGAATCAAATCTAGAGAGGATAATAACGTTTTAGATGTCTTGGTGAGTGAAAATTAATGGCTGTTTTTTATTTAATTTGAGTTTATTTCTTTTAAAAAAAACTAACTCACAGAGAGTGTCTTAATTAACATATGGTTGGTTGTGTGTGTGTGTGTGTGTGTGTGTGTGTGTGTGTGTGTGTGTGTGTGTGTGTGTGTGTGTGTGTGTGTGTGTGTGTGTGTGTGTGTGTGTGTTGTATTGTTCTTTAAGGTAAGGGTTAGATAATTTGGAGAATTTGCAGTCAAACCGGGGAAAATCTGTCACTTCCTCACAGAGCCCCTCCTCCAACACACATGAACGCGCATGACCAAAAGGGGGCGCGAGATAAGTTTGTGCACAGAGACCCCCGCATTGCTGCTGATGCATTCGTTTGACTGACGCTCAGGACGGATGCGGTAAGCTGACTGATTAAACCCTTTCGAGGCTTCTCTTGGCCATTTTTCTTTTTGAAAAGTTGAATGGAATTGCTGTCTTTTTAATTAGTTTGAGCATATTTCTAATTCCACCACCCCCCACTATCTGCCTGCGTCATAGCCCGGAAGGGGGGAGAGGCTAGGAGGGGGCTGGTAGACAGTCTCACCTCACTTCAAGAGACACCTAAATTAACATCAGAGGCTTACAACACCTCATAGATTAAACTTCATAATTAGACAACTCTGAGGGGGCCAGACAGCATAAAGAGACTTAATCAACTCCTAAATTAACATCAGAGGCTTATAACACACAAGTGTGAAGTCACACCGGTGTGTTATAACACCTCCCGTCAAAGGACTAGACTTCATAATTAGATTATACAACTCTGAGGGGGCAAGGGGCCAGACAACACAAAAGAGACTTAATCAACACATCAAAGAATTAGACAACAAAAGCGCTAGCCCCGGGCTTTTCACATGACACAAAAGGATCTCTAACAAAGGGACTACACAGGGGGGAATTTCACACCTACGTGTGACGATACCTCACCCCTCACATTAAAGGATCTCACACCTACGTGTGAATTCACACCTAGGTGGGACATCCACCTCGAACAATGGGAGGCGGGACTTAGCTCATTAACATAAGTAGGGAGAGGTGTGACCTGTCACACCACCTGTCACTTTTCTTGCATACTAATGTGATTGAAACAGCATTGTTACTACTACTCGAGAACATTCCAGTGAGGTACCATGTTTTTGGTGTTTTTCACACCAGGTTCATCAAAAGGTCGTTCTGATTACACATACTGAAGAACTTTTCATGATATTGATGCTTGGAGTTTTACGGATGTAATATGTATGTGTTTTTACGATTTTATCTGTTGCTATTTGATAACTTTGCGTTTGAAAAGAGTGTGTTGAGATCTTCATATGAAGTGAATACTTAAAACGAAAGTTAATTGAGATCATATATGATCAATCATATTCTTGTATAAACCCATAATGAGAATGCTTCTTGACGGTTTTTGAATATGTATGTATGATTACAATTTTTTCTGTTGCTATTTGATAACTTTGCGTTTTGAAAAGAGGGTGTTGTGAGTTTTCATAGTATGTTTAATACTTAAAAACGAAAGTTAGTTATAATCAAATATAATCAATTATATTTTTGTATAACCCACAATGAAAATGCTTCATATTTTAGGTTTTTCTATAGTTACAGTATAAACAAAACAAAGTGGTTTGTTTAGGTTGAGTGTGTAAGGTCTATGATTTATGGGTGTCTCTGATAAAGAGAGTAGGCCGTTTTCTTCCTCTCCTGTGACAGCAGTACACAGGGAGGGGGGCTCCAGGCTTAAGGAGAAACACAGAGGCCTCAAAAAAGGGTCACGTCTTTTTCACATTAACATAGGTGTGTCTTATGCCATAAAGCTATGGAACATGTCGAGTCATGTCCAACCTTGTACATTAGAGTCCATGCCCAGTTTTCCACAAATTGGGTGTAGAGGAGGAGTTTTTTTTTTTGGGGTTTCGTTCCGGTTTTTTTAGCATAAAGAGACTGGGTTTTTGAGAGAGCGCGAGAGAGGGGGGTTTCCCCTGGTAGACTCTCTCCCGGTAGGCTGTGTCCTTCAGAGCTTGGTTAATAGCTCTCGGTAAAGGTCCTCTCACACTTGGTAAATATCTCTCGAATTTCTTGGTTGTTGGCTGAGTGGAATGATTTGATGAGAGATGTGTTTGTGAATATTATAACCCGCCACCTGTGAGAAAAATCTTCCCTCCGAATTTTTGCGGACAGGTATGGGTTTTTGAATGTTATACCCGCCGTCTGTGTCGGAAAAAAGGTATGAAACTGATGTGAATTGATTTGGTGAATGAAAAGTTGAATGCACTTTTTATTGTCACCGGTCTTTTTACGAGGAAATACCTCTAAATTCTATCGAGAGAATTGTAAAATGTCACAACTGAATTGGGCAGTTGAAATTAAAACATTTTGGTAATAAATGTAAGACTGTGAATTAAAGTTTCATATTTGAACATGATCACAGCACGATTTTTTTAGTATGATTATAATGTTGTAAAGAGAGAAGGTACAAACCCTGTATTAGTTTGGACCTATTTTTCTTCAAATAAACTGAATCCCACCTGTTGGATTGGGATAATTTAAAAGACACCTGTGCCCTCCTCTCCTGCGTCAAAGGTAAGATTGCACCCTGCCACACACACTTAGGTAGGAGCACACTCCATTTACTGATATCAAAATCCTTCGGGATCCCTTAAACAGATTAAAAAAGAGTTGTCTGAATTGAAACAGCAGTTAATTGAACCTAGGTTCTTCGGGAAGTTAATAGAGGTGAGATCTTGCTGACGTTGGTGGATCTGAGCCAAGCAGCAACCTTACATAGACTCAATAACTTCGGTCAGGTCAATTAGTAGGTCAGAGTAATTTACCGGAATAAATTATCAGGACCTCTCCAACTCTAAACAGTTCACTAGAGCAGACCAAACAGTGTCATTGTGGTACGTTTTTATCTAGTATATGTCTTACATTTCAGATGTCATCAGATGTACCTACAACTGTTGTTATTTAGGTGCCGTTGTGGAAACTGCGCTTTGATGCCAAGTGACGGAGAAAACGTGTGTTGCAATAGCATAAGAAAGGTAGCCTAGCTTAGTTACATTATGTCGGCAGATAGCTGAAAACACCAACAGTAGCACACATATACCAAGATATACAGCATACATATTTTTCAAGTCAATAGACTATTATATGCACTTTTATTACTTCCTTAGTAATTGAATGTTTATTTTGTAAACCTTTCCCATAGTTGGTTTAATTGCTAAACGTGTTTTGTAACACATCTTACCTTCATAGGTTGTAACACGCATGCTGCAAGTTCCAGAACCCATTAACTGCATGGTTGACCACCCAGGACTAGAGCCTAACTGCTTGAACCCATACACCCTGCAGAATCTCCACAATATTTATAAATACAGTTTCGGACCTTTGACAAATACAACGGAAGAAGATTAAGTTATTGTTACCTGTAATAAACTACTACCGTTTGATGAAAAATCAAATCATGGTTTGCTATATATGAATGATATGTTATAGGAGCAAATAATTCAGGAAAGAAAGGCTACTAAGTATTTCCATCAAACTTTATTTTTACAAATGTACAAAATGTGTGAATGTATATTTATACACTGTACATCATCCATTCCTCTCCTGATAGGCGTTTTCGATATCTTGCGTATCGCAGCTTTGTAAGCTGGTGCTGAGGATTTAGGGCGAGGCATCAGAGTGGTGATTCCGTCGTCTGTTGTGCTCCGGATCCGCCAGGAGTTTCCAGATCTGGCTGGACAATATGTAGGATTTTGACCTCCTTTGGGGGGAAACGGGAGAAACGGCTGACAATCATTTCCTCCTTGGGGGGCCTGTCAAATTAAGTTGACAGGTCCTCTGGGACGTGGATTCGTTTCAGCTCGTCCACAAAGGGTGTAGGGTCCAGAAATACTTTGTGAAACACAAGCCTCGTCAGCTCATCCACATAGACTGAAAAATAAAGCATTGTATAAATAATTTGTTATTGTTATTCACTTTTTGTATTTAATGTAATACTTTTATTGTTCATTGCATCTTTAATCATTTGAAATGTAAGTTCTGTTAATAATAATAAAAATAAAAACAAATATTTCACAACTTACTGTATGTAGGGTCGTTCTTAACAGGCTTGACCGTACACTCTCCCCTCTTTGATTTTGGATAAGCCAATTTGAAGACAAGTTTTCCTGCAGCAGTTGTCGCTTGGTCACGCCCAGCATTCTCGTTGTGATGCATTGCTGCTAGACACAACCTATAGAATAGCAAAATAAAAGGAGACTTTGTGTTATGACAGAATAAAACCCTCATGCCACTAAACAGTGACTGTGTTATAAGATGCTACAGAATAAAGTATACAGTGTATTACCTGCACAACATTCCAATGAAGGGGAAAACCACATTTTTTTGGGGTAAAACGCAGAATTAAGTTGTGGAAGGACTCCAGGGATGAGGTCTGGTAGTGATGGCTTAGCTTTAGCACATCTTTGAGAACTCTCTTGTTGGTGAGTATCGTTTCAACTCTGTCGAGTGTTATTGAGCCTTGAGTAAAATGACAAAGACATTAGGTAAATCACCAGCACATTAGAACATTACAACAATAATTTGCCATAACAACAATGTTATATTTACATTCTATATTGTTGATCTTATGAAGGAAGTGAAATATTGACCTTACCACCTTTTAGGTAAGGTTTATTTGCATCGCTTGCGGCTCCTACAGGATCCTACGATTTTTGGTCGAGCCCAAGTGCTGTACATGTAATAAAAGCACAATTAAGGTAATGTATCTGTGATTTGTCAGTGTTATAGTCTACCTTTGCTTCTAACGTGTGCTGATTTCAGTGTTCCCCGGGCCAACTGTGTAGCAACAGAAATGGCGGACACTTTACATTCCACTGTCTGTGTTCCCACAGACTGTGTCTCAACCCTCTGAGTTCCCACACAAACAGTCTGTGGACGGTCTGTTTGACATCCGACTGTACTGGAGCAGTGGGTATTGTGTTCCTGCTGTGATGTACTCTAAGAAAGATACACATAGTATTCATACAATTCATTTTGTATCCGAGGAAAACAGTCAATTTCATAAAAGCAACACTTTTACAATTACAATGTTCTACAGATAGTCTGCTACCTTTTCCCATGTAGCGTAATATTTCAGACTCTTTGTAGCTCAGTAGCATATAGGGTTGCCAACCGTCCCGTATTTGAGCCAAAAGGGGCGTGTCCCGTACGGGACTTTGTTTGTCCCGGATTCCCGTGTAAAGGGAAAAAAAAATAATATTTTTCTGTTTGCGCGCAATGCAGTGTGTCTGGCTGCGTGCCTGTGTGTTTGTGTGCTGTATCCGAAGGGCACTAGGACCGCTCAGTTGACAGGGCAGGCACAATGCTCGCACGTGTGTGTGTGAGATTTTCTCCGGTGGGCCGCGGGCGCGGCATCATTGTTTGTGTGGCATGTTCAGTCGTGTGAGAAAATTAGCGCTGCCGGTGGAGGAGGTGATGATGAAAGAGGAGAAGAGAGAGAGGATGTGGTCTTTTAAAAAGAAAATACTTGTGTCTTACAACAAACAGTGGAAGAAAAACACAGTTGGGTAAAGCCCGTGAGTGGAGATCTGTCTCGGGTCTTGTGTGTGTGTGTGTGTGTGTGTGTGTCTTTGGTTTGCTATACTTGTGAGGACCACTTATTGAGAAACAACTCGCTCTGTGAGGACATTTTTGGGTGTGAGGACCTTTTGGGTGGTCCTCACTAAAACAATGCTGAAATACTCCCCTGAAGGCCTGAACAACATGCTGTGTAATTTTCAGCAAAAGTCCCAACAAGAATAGTAACTATGGAATTGGTCGTTTTCTCCTGTGCTCTTGGGCTCCAACTAGAGGACACACACGTGTACTGCATCTACTTGTACTGGGAATTTTCTGATTGATTGGTCACTGCAGTCACATTGCTTGACTAGGGAGGGGTAAGGAAGGAGGGGGAAATATAGTTGCAGGTGACCTGACAGAAGCCTGTTACCAGCTACATGTCAACCATGTAGAGGTTACAAATTAAATATAAATGACAAATCAACACAATTCATTATATAAAATACTTGCAGACTGTGCATTATCAGTTATGAATTATTATACACTACTTATTTTCTGAAGATTTAAGAGGCTATATGCCTCCCAAAGCATAGTATTGATGTGCTTAAGTTTATTAAAAATTAAAATGTCCGCCATTATACAAAATGGAGTCTTTATTATAAAATATGCAATGGTATTTATCCCCTAACCTAACTGTAAAATATATTATTGGTAAATGTTGAGTTGAAATGTTGAAAAATGTAAGTTTAATATAAGATAATTGCTGGAACATATTGTTCTAGTTCATTTTCTGGAAGTGTGTTAAAACTATGGCTGTCAAGCGATTACAAATACTAATCTAATGAATTATATGATGTGTGATGCTACAAGATCTGAGTCCTTCTACTTTTACTCAAGTACAACATCTGAGTACTTCTACTTTTACTAAAGTACAAGATCTGAGTACTTTTCCCACCACTGCACACCTGACGTTACTCCTAATTGTGGCAACAGTGCTATGAGTTTTGGCAGTGGAAAATCTGAAGCTTTTTGGCCGAATGTTTGGACAGATCGCTTGTGTTTCTGCGAGTACGCGATAAACTTATAATGTAACTATTTATCAACTTGAAAACAATAAGATGTCTCTCTCAGTTCCTTAAATCCTCACCTTCTTCTCTTCTCCCATGTTTTGATACTAACCCTTTTGTCCTCTGTCTGTGTGAGTGGTTGGTGTTTATTTCTTGCTGTATGGATGTGGCTCCCATCTTTAGGCCTCCCAATGCTGTCCCTGGTCCTGCATGGCCCTGCTCCTCCTGCATCCCTCACAGCCATTCCCATTGTTTCATGCATTTACATACCATATTCTGTCTTTGCTTTCTAGTCTTGATACCTCCCTTGTGTATTAAACAGTATTATAAGCCATACTGTGTTATGTCCTAAGTATTCACTCAGGTCTTTCAAGAAACTAAGGTTGCATTCACACCTAATAGTCCTCTTCTTTGGTGTGTTAAAACATTATAAACACATATAATGACAGACTGCAGTAAGGTGTGTTGTTGTACACAGGGGACCAGTGAGGTGAGCGGTCACAAGCAAATATATATATACCAGCCTTTGATAACACTTTAATGGTCAATAATTATAAAACATATCGTATATATTATTCTGAAATGGACCTATATTCTCCGGCACACGTGGCACGACCCAACCTATCGTCTCTGTATACAGTCGCAGCTGTGTGTCTGTGTATTCAGCAGGATGTCTGCTGGATAATATATATATATATATATATAATACATATAATGGCACTGTTCTAGCGGTAAACACTTAAGAAAGAACATGTCAAGCTATGTGCTGTATCGGAAACAATGCATGGCGTGTTTTGGGAGTAATATGCTATGTGTTTACATTAGCAAGCATGCTAACACTCAGAGCTAACCATGGAGCTAACGCTGTAGGCTACTGGAGAGAATATGTGTAACGTAATGTCCTTGTGGTAAAGAGAAAGGTTTGATCTCCATACTGTTTCAGAAATAAAGCGTGAAGTGGTTAGGAGCATAACACAGCATTTAATCACCGCAGCGTTTAGCTGAGCTTCTCCCCGTAGAAATCTCTCAGGGGAAAGCTGCGTGTATACATATCTATATATATATATAGTCATGTGCACATTAACTACTAACTACAATGTAGAAATGGCAATTACATTTGTATGTCCTAGACTCCTCCAACAATGCAACATAAATATGTATATATATATATATATATATATGATTTCAAAAAGAAAGAAAATAGAAGTAATTATAAAATAAAGTGATGCAAGTAAGTCCAGTGTGCAATATAATGCAACAGAAGAAGAGGTAACGTATATATATATATATATATATATATATCAAATAAACGTCAGAGCTCAGGAGTTATGGCAAAACTGTGCACTGTTGTAATACAATGTATTATAACCAAACATATATACAGAGTGTGTATATATTCAGGGTTGGGCTGTAACAGAATATATGTAACAGCGTTACGTAATCAGAATACAAAAATCAAGTAACTGTATTCAGCTCGCGTTATATTTGAAAAACTAGTAATCTGATTACAGTTACTTTCGTAAACCTGAAGTGAATACTTATTGGAATTATTGGTGGAAAAGAGAAAGAGAGAGAGAGAGAGAGAGAGAGAGAGAGAGAGAGAGAGAGAGAGAGAGAGAGAGAGAGAAGAGAGAGAGAGAGA